CCATCTTGAAACGAAGAGAAAGAAACAAATCGAGTTTACTCAAAACTATGTCATTTCAGAACTAACTTATCGTTCAATTTTCTTTCAAAAATTTGCATCCTGTAGTCTCTTCAGCAGTGGGATTAAACTGTAGGACCGGGGGAAAAAACCCAAACTTGGATCAGACAACCCTACTCCTAGTCCATACAACCAGGGAATCAAATAAATATTCTAATCTCACGATGGACAGTATATGGCCAGGAGCAATGTTCAGTCATTCAGATCGAACAAAAATTGCTGTACCTTGTGCACATTACCCTGCAACATTAAGAACCGTATTGTCATCCACATAAAAGAATCATTGCAACATTCGATATAAAAGCAGGCCAGAAAGCTGCTGACCAAAATAAATTTCCCCCATAGTTCACTGCATGACCCATGTTTCATTAGACTAGTTTCATTAGACTAGTTAGAGGTTGCTGAGATTCTTCATATAACCAACAGAAGTGACTGTAAATATGAAAGCTTTCATATCTGCTTTGCAGATCTAGTTATTATTATTATTCATCTTCTATAGCGCTTCATTATATCCGGTGATATTTCTAAGCGCTTAACAAATGTCACATCACAGTTTGTAATAATATTTAAACAAGTTTATCATAATTTTCTTGTTATTTGATTCATAATATTTACGTAATGTAGATTTCTTTATCTTATTTGTCAATATTTCTTTAATGTGTTTGGTGTGCCTTCCCTTTAATACTTTGTCTTTATATAAAAATATATATATATATATATATATATATATATATATATATATATATATATATATACGTAAAATAGAGTAAATGCGTCCATTCTAGATAGTTATTTTATTACTGACATGTTTCATATAATTTTCAAAGTAATGTAGGTAACTAGGTATAGAAACAATAGTGTGACGTAATTACGTCATTATAATGGAGAATAATACATTATGTGAATGGGTTCAAATCAAACCATTTAATTTCGGTTTATATTTATCGATGAAATATTTTTCTTTGATCCCCATTCGTATATTATCAGATGTAAACATTTTATAGAATGGATATACGACAAAATTAGGGTTTTTATCCTTCGCACCGAAATTAAATGGTTTGATTTGAACCCATTCACATAATGTATTATTCTCCATTAATGACGTAATTACGTCACACTATTGTTTCTATACCTAGTTACCTACATTACTTTGAAAATTATATGAAACATGTCAGTAATAAAATAACTATCTAGAATGGACGCATTTACTCTATTTTATATATATGTATGTATGTATGTATGTATATATATCTCGCGTAATAAATCCACAATACACATTATAGTATAGAATTTATATCATAATATATTTATGACTTAATAGTATAATATTATACATATTATATAATCATTATATCTATGACGTAACAGATCTAGAATAATCTACAATCTATAACGTATAAAATGCATGTGTTTCTTACTAATACAGTTTATGGCGTAATAGTTATTATGTTACACTTAATAATTAACATACACTAATAATGTGACGTCATAAATTATACACTACACATTATACACTATTGGCGTCTTTGCTATACAATTACATAATACTATGATATATACATATCTATTACGTCATGGATATATACTATTCAAAAAAAGTAGGGGATATTTGATTTTGGGGGCATAATACTAAAATATGCAAATGACTACGAAAAAAGTCACTATAGAACCTAACAGAAGAAACATTTCCAGTTACATGTGACGCCCAAACGCACCAATAGCTACCGCATGGAATGCAGGTGATGCTTGGGATCATCATGGGGGTCCAACCCAAGATTTGCACGACTCTGACTTTGAATGTTACAGTCATTGTGGCATTGAATTCCAGGGTGGAAACATCAGTTTAATTGTTTTAGTGACCAGAAAACAAATTTTGATATGCGTCGGCTTACCCAAAATGAAAAGTTACGTGCCCTTGGCATGCTACAGATCGGCACAACACAGGCGGTTGTGGCGCGGACGATGAATGTTTCTCAGTCTGTCATAAGCAGGCTATGGTCCAGATACCGTGATACACAATCTGTACAGGACAGACCACGCTCAGGTCGACCAAGGGCGACAACCCAAGCCCAGGATCGATTTATCCGTACCTTGGCCTTGAGAAATCGTGTCATCACAGCAAATCAGATCAGCGCTCGTCTTCAAACAGACACTGGTGTGAGAGTGAGTGGCCAGACGATTCGGAATCGACTGCATAGGGGTCACCTTCGCGCCCGACGTCCTCGCGTGATCCCTTGTTTGAGAGATCATCACATTCAGGCAAGACGTCGTTGGTGTAGGGATCGTCAACACTGGGATAATCGACGCTGGAGCAATGTGATGTTTTCAGATGAGTCAAGGTTCACTGTTGATTTTTTGGACAGACGTAGGAGGGTGTGGTGTCGTCGAAATGAGCGCTTCCAAGACGTTAACGTCATCAGACATGATCGATTTGGGGGTGGTTCTGTTATGGTGTGGGGAGGCATCACTGTTGCTGGAAGAACGGCTTTACATGTTTTTGCAGGGCGTGTTACAGGCCAGTACTACCGGGACAACATCTTGGCAGTCCATGTTGTGCCGTTCGCACGACGTCATGGCCGCCGTTTCATCTTCCAGGATGACAACGCAAGATGTCACAGGGCCAGGATAGTTACAGGTTACCTCCAACAACAGAACATCACCACATTACCTTGGCCAGCACTGAGTCCCGACCTCTCCCCCATCGAGCATGTCTGGGACATGCTTGGACAGAGGTTACGTCAACGTCAACAACGTCCTGCCAATGTCCAAGAATTTGCTGCTGCGTTGCAACAGGAATGGGACAATCTGGACCAAAATGACCTTAGACGTCTCATTAGGAGTATGCCACGTCGGATCAATGCTTGTTTGGCAAACAGAGGAGGATTTACCCGTTACTGACTTGGTTGTGATGCTGTGGTAACTTTGCTGTTTGACCCCGGGTATCATTTTACCCTTATAATGGTCAGTCTGTGCCTTTGGAATAAATCGATGAATGTGAACTTCATTTAATTTTGTCATTTGTTTCTTCGTCAGTTTCATTAGGTGACTTTAATAACACTTAAAAATCAAATATCCCCTACTTTTTTTGAATAGTATATAATACAATCCATTAATACTATCTCTGACATAATACACAGGATCACGTACCTCAATAATATCTATGACGTAATAAATATATAATGCACACTATACTAATAATATCAGTTACCTAATTGATACTAACATTATCTATGAAGTAATAGATATAATTACATTAAAGATATATTTCACACATAATATTTACACGTTTACTTTAATATTTCATAATGTAGTCGTTTTTGGAGAAAAATGAATTACATTGGTATTTTCATAGATAATGCTACAAATTCTTGTTTCAAATAATAAAAAAGAGTATATAAATTGTTTACAAAAGGGAGTACATATCCTTTAAAAAAAAGGCAGTACATATCCTTCAAAAGGGGTACATGTTCTTTAAAGGGGGTACATATCCCTTAAAAGGGAGTACATATCCTTTGAAAACGATAACATATATCGTTTGAAAAGAAGTACGTCATATCCTTTGGAAAGAAGTACATATCCTTTGAAAAGGGGGGACGTATCCTTAAAAAGAAGTATGTATTCTCAAAAATGGAGTATAAATCTTTTAAAAAGAGTCCATATTTTCAAAAATTGAGTCGATATCCTTTAAAAATGAGGTACATATATTTTAAAGATAGGTTGCCAGGCAACAAAACATACGCCCACAGCAGCTAAATCGTCCGGGCAGTCAACAAGAGTTGTTGCATATTTTTACTTTTTTCGGTAATGAAACATTTATAATACACTAAAATCTGATTAAGAGCAACAACTCATGAAGTAATTATCAGAAAACCATTAGAATTTGTTTGGGTTTTATAAAGTTCTGTATACAAAACTTTTAATATCATGGATTTAGCTGTTCAAGTCATAAAGATAGGTTGCCAGGCAACGAAACAGTTGTTGCATATTTTTACTTCGGTAATGAAACATTTATAATACACTAAAATCTGATTAAGAGCAACAACTCATGAAGTAATTATCAGAAAACCATTAGAATTTGTTTGGGTTTTATAAAGTTCTGTATACAAAACTTTTAATATCATGGATTTAGCTGTTCAAGTCATAAAGATAGGTTGCCAGGCAACGAAACATACGCCCACAGCAGCTAAATCGTCCGGGCAGTCAACAAGAGTTGTCACATATTTTTACTTTTTTCGATAATGAAACATTTATAATACACTAAAATCTGATTAAGAGCAACAACTCAGAAAACCATTAGAATTTGTTTGGTTTTTATAAAGTTCTGCCCCATGCTAACGTTTTGTATACAAAACTTTTAATATCATGAATTTAGCTGTTCCAAGTCATAAAAATTCATTGAAATTCAATATACTTGTTCGTCTCAAGATCTTAAACTCTGTGTATCAATCGGATATTAACTTTAGCCTCTAGACGGACGGACGGACGGAGAGACGGGGGCGACGACAATATACGACCACATTTAAATGTGGGCGTATAAAAATTGATTGAAAATCAATATACTTGTTCGTCTCAAGATCTGAAACACTGTGTATAAATTTAAAGTCAATCGGATATTACCTTTAGTCTCTTGAGCATCCACAAGCAATTGTGGACGCCAGCCGGACAGACGGACGGGGGCGATGTCAATATATGACCACATTTCAATGTGGGCGTATAAAAAGTGTTTGAATATTGTTAGTGATGCCCACAAAGCGTCCCGAACCTGTTATATCGGTGTTGTTCAGCTATCCCAACAACCAAATTATAACATCTTCATATTCGATGTATAAATAAAGCTGTTTGGAGATATATTAGTGTGTATGTATTTATTTGAAAGCTATTCTGTCTAGTGAGCGGTTAACAATGTTATGGATGATATATCTTAGCACCAATTCATCACTTACCTTTAAATCAAAAACTCGGATATAATAAGAACGTTTTGTATTGTCTTTGACAAAAGCTGCAACACCACAACATCTCTTGTTCCATCTATGATTATCTGACAAATCTGATAAATACAACTGTACAATTCCTGTAGCAAGTGTCTGAAAGTGAAACAAAAACAGTTGTGAATTCACTCTAGCCTAGGTATCTGAACTAATTCGGCATAATGTCAGTTTCTGGTGGTTTATAAATAAAATTTCATGGATTTTCTGAAAGTACATGTACAAATCTTTATCAAATGCAATTACTGAAAAAGATATCAAACAGATTGTTCAATCACAGACTTTTCCTGATGTTGATTAAGAACTTCCTATATCTTTCAAGGACCAATTAATTCAGGAAAAATATCCATTGTAGCGAGGTTACTTTTCTAATATGTGAAGTATTTTTTTTTTACATTTTATATGCGTTTAACTTTTGTTACATCCCACTTCTACTCGTTGATAAAACTGTGCTGTTTATTTTCAATACATGCTTAAAAGTATCTGTGTATCAGAAATATACAGAAAGAGTACTGTTCATTTCTGATACACGGATACTTTTATACTGTTTTAGATACCTATCAAGCAATAAGTAGCGGACGTTTAGTCCGACCCAGATCGCAATTGATAACGATGGCTCTATACAATGCACAAGGCTAATGTACATGAAACAACTAGTCAAAATCATAGTAACAAAACAAATCGGGGGGAACTACCTGGCAGTTCAAAAACATATACAATGACATTAAATTAACATAACAATATATTACAAACATGAATTATTATACATATCAATTGGCATCTATTTCATAATTTGGTTTGATTTATATTAATATGCAAAATATATAAATTAGAATATTGAATAATTATTTTAATTAATTGTGATGATAGAAGGCGCAGTTCTCTTGCTGGACACTTCACAGGCATTGAAAATAAGCAGGAAGAAAAAAAACGCCTAGAAAGTCATAAACTTTATTACAAATAAATTTCAACGGAAGAACCATCCGCCGATGCATACTTTCACCAGGAATGACCCACGTTTCGCATTTCCTTTACACTACATTTAATAATATCGCAGTCCTCTACGCCATAGACAAGTTGTTTTGACGATGTGGTCTAAACAAACACGTGATTGTTTTACGCTCAGAGTATCATAGCAAGACGCACGTGTAAATACTACTCAGGTCGTCTCTCCACTGCGAAATCATTCTACCATGAAATGTAACGTGAGGCTCAGAAAGGGATAAATGAAAGAGCAGAAAGTATTTGACACGTTTCGGTTGAAACAACTCGATAATAAATACTATTTTTCAAATTTTGCTTCACAATACTCGATAGAAATGTGATGTAAGTAACTTATTAGCACCTTTCCTCGGTGTATCGGTGAATATCAGGACAGTTTTGGTCGGGAGCCGCCTCGGCTGGGCCCCTCGACCAAAACTGTCCTGATATTCACCGATACACCTCGGATAATGCATATAAATTTCAGAAAGATTGGATGATAACTTTTGGCGTAAGAGCGTTCACAAGGTTCAATAAAGTGAAACAAGGGCCATAACTCTAGACGTAATAAACAGAAATTGCTGAAATTCAATACGCTTCTTCGTTTCACTAATTTAAATAATGCATGTAAATTTCAGAAAGATGTGATGATAACTTTTGGAGTTAGAGCGTTCACAAGGTTTAATAAAGTGAAACAAGGGCCATAACTCTATACGTAATAAACAGAAATTGTTGAAATTCAATAGGCTTCTTCGTTTCACTAACTTAAATATTGCATATAAATTTCACAAAGATCGTATGTTAACTTTTGGCATTAGAGCGTTCACAAGGTTCAACAAAGTGAAACAAGGGCCATAACCCTAGACGTAATAAACGGAAATTATTGAAATTAAGTGCTTGTCCACGAGAAAACCATGCAAAATCATGCAAAATCGGGAAGGTGATGGGTCGGCCAATTCCATTCATATTCATAGGGTTTGGTCATGCCCATGAGACTACTCGATAGCCAAAACCGCCGATCTCAGAAATTGACCCTAGCCGAGATACGGCAAACAGGTGTTTTGGGGGCTTTTTTCTCATTTTTTCGTCAATTTTAGGCAATGTTAGCTGCTGTTTTTCAGGTTGTAAATGAGTACTTATGAAACGAATGATGATTCGATATATTAGGCTAGGTAGTAATGTTTCAAAAGATAGGTTGCCAGGCAACGAAACATACGCCCACAGCAGCTAAATCGTCCGGGCAGTCAACAAGAGTTGTCGCATATTTTTACTTTTTTCGGTAATGAAACATTTATAATACACTAAAATCTGATTAAGAGCAACAACTCAGAAAACCATTAGAATTTGTTTGGTTTTTATAAAGTTCTGCCCCATGCTAACATTTTGTATACAAAACTTTTAATACTGTATCATGGATTTAGCTGTTCCAAGTCATAAAAATTCATTGAAAATCAATATACTTGTTCGTCTCAATATCTTAAACTCTGTGTATCAATCTGAAGTCAATCGGAAGTGATCAAGGGCCATAACTTTGGCAGTAATTATCAGAAATCTTTGAAGATCAATAGGATTCTTCGCCTTGTGACCTCAAACACTGTTTATAAATTTAAAGTCAATCAGATATTAACTTTCGCCTCTAGAGCATCAACAAGGTTTTTTGAAGTGATCAAGGGCCATAACTCTGGCAGTAATTATCGAAAATCACTGAAAATGAATAGACTTCTTCGTCTCATGACCTTAAACACTGTGTATAAATTTAAGTCAATCGGATATTAACTTTAGACTTTAGAGCGTCCACAAGATTTTTTGAAGTGATCAAGGGCCATAACTCTGGCAGTATTTATCGGAAATCGCTGAAAATCAATAGGATTTTTCGTCTCATGACCTTAAACACTGTGTATAAATTTAAAGTCAATCGGATATTAACTTTGGCCTCTAGAGAGTCCAAAAGATTATTTGAAGTGATCAAGAGCCATAACTCTGGCAGTAATTATCGGAAATCGCTGAAAATCAATAGGCTTATTCGTCTCATGTCCTTAAACACTGTGTATAAATTTTAAAGTCAATCGGATATTAACTTTCGCCTCTAGAGCGTCCACAAGATTTTTTGAAGTGATCAAGGGCCATAACTCTGGCAGTAATTATCGGAAATCGCTGAAAATGAATAGGCTTCTTCGTCTCATGACCTTAAACACTGTGTATAAATTTAAAGTCAATCGGATATTAACTTTGGCCTCTAGAGCGTCCACAAGATTTTTTGAAGTGATCAAGGCCCGTAACTCTGGCAGTAATTATCGGAAATCGCTGAAAATCAATAGGCTTCTTCGTCTCATGACCTTAAACCTTAATCGGATATTAACTTTGGCCTCTAGAGCGTCCACAAGATTTTTTGAAGTGATCAAGGGCCATAACTCTGGCAGTAATTATCGGAAATCGCTGAAAATGAATAGGCTTCTTCGTCTCATGGCCTTAAACACTGTATATAAATTTAGAGTCAATCGGATATTAACTTTAGCCTCTAGAGCGTCCACAAGCAATTGTGGACGCCGGACGGACGGACGAACGGGGGCGACGACAATATACGACCACATTTCAATGTGGGCATATAAAAAATGAAGAAAGAAAAATCTATCTTTCCACTCAGGGGTGCCATTTGGTTATTCCTGAAGTGAATAAATCAAACCTTATAAAGAACCCTAACTTTATGCCGCGATATCTCCACTGCTGCGGGGTCCCATGAATTCTTTTTGTGGTTGTTAGTAACTGGGTATCAGGTCTCTCGATTAAAAAAATAAAATTTCATATATGTCTATAACTACACTCTCAAAAAAAGTGGGTAATTTGGACAAAAATCGGATAAATTCAACAATTTTACGAAGCTTTTTCCCCAATATTATCAAACTGATATTCAAACAAATGTAGTATAATACAGACGCCTTCACAGCTGCTATGTTTTCGCAACATAATGTTCGTATGACAACTCTTACTGCAACTGGAAGTGAAAATTTGCTAAAATTCGCATTATTTCACTCTTAAATCTCTTGATATGTACAGATCTCATTATAAGCTGCAGTTGAGAGAACTGTCATAGCTCACAGTAGTCAATGAATAGTAAAATGTAGGTCTAAATCCTCAAGATTGGAAAATAAATTCTACACTCTAAAAAGTTCCAGGTCAGCACAACTAAATAGGCAAGATTTTGTCTTTTCTTTCAATTTTCAGGACCGATGTTATCTTTACCTCTACCTGCGACCAACGAGTTAATCATCTATATTTAGACTATACCCTACCTACAAGTAGTAGTCCTACACTCTTAAAGTACGGTGATCATCATCTTCACAAAAAGACCCAAAAATAAACAAAAAACTTTTTTTTTTCAATTGGCTTAATGTAGCAATAGGTGTACGTATATATCAGAATATCGAACAGCAACTATTGGTACTAGTAGTAGAGTAGTTTTATATATGTTGGTCTAACTCGTAACATTTTTTTTAACTTGTTGTACGTAAAGCAGAAAGCGCAGATTGCTCTCTGAGGTCGCAGATTAAATACTAAATTGGGCAATGCCCGTTATTGACCTCGTGAGTCAATCCTTAATCCTCACAAAATATCAAATATATACAAAATTTACTTTCGGGAGGGAATACTAATCCTTACAAAATATCACATCTAATTACATTCATGAACCCTCACAAAATATCAAATGTGATACAAAAACTACGTTCATAATTTTTCACAATATATCAGAGACATTCAATGAATCCTTTCCTTACAAAATATCAAATACAGTATTATACAAAATTTACATTCATGAACCTTCGCAAAATATCATACAAAATTTACATTCATAAATTTTTACAAAATATCAGAAGGATAAAATAGTGGAAGTACCTCATGAATCTAATCTCCTCAGTGTATATCAGGATCTATTAGCAGGACGGTGTTATTATCTTTGAAAAATAGTAAATATCATCAGAACGGTGTTATAATCATTGACAAATTGTAAATATCATCAGAACGGTGTTATAATCATTGACAAATAGTAAATATCAGCAGAATCGTGTTATAATCATTGACAAATAGTAAATATCAGGGGGACGATGTTACTATCATTGAAA